AAAAAAATGAACTACATCCACACTTATTCGTGACTACCTAAATAGCACAACCATGTTTAAGTATTAAAACATGACCAAGTAATATAATATATAAATCAATATTTAATTTCATACACAGTTATTCCTTAGACTCTCTTGAGACAACATGCGAACTATCGATTTACTGAATGATTCGAAAATTCCCAGTCTTCAAAGAAATTCAAGCATCAAGCTTATTTCATTTAGTACACAAGATCTAATTGTAATTGTGAAAAATTCGTTGAAATCTTAACGGAAGTACCTTTATTATTGGAAACCTGATTTATGACCAATAAAATGAATGAAACAATCATGAAATAAGCTCAGTATGATGATTGATCAATTAATTAATAAAAAAGCCGGTTAGTTATTTATTAGGTTTATAAATACATTGAAAAAGCGGCAAATACAACTCATTATTATTTGATTATGTTTAGGGTGTCAGTGTAAAGAGTGAGATAATTGCCGAGTGAACATTTTCGTTCATCTTTTCCTTTCACTTCAAGTGTTCTACATTTGTTTTCTGTCTAACAATGAGTCGATATCATCCGTAATGTACTTTAAAATATTTTTCATAATCATTGTCTCCCACTTCCTCTTTCTCCACCAAATCAACCCTCATCATAAAAATTCAAAGTTTGTCACCGATCTTTACCTAACCCAATCTATAAGTTTTTTATGTTAGCCCAATGAAAATGACCTATTTTGTGTTCACTACGTTTGACATGCTTGTGATCATGTAAGTTATATAAGTCGTTCGATATCAAAGCATTTATCAAGTGAAGAGATTATAAAACAAAATCAGAGAATAAATGGGAACAAAAATAAGAAATCAAAATGTTGGTCTCAAAAGGACGCATCAGTATGGATATTATTCTTATGTAGCTAGTTCTTCAAACATCAGCTTCGCAACGAAATACGATTCACCTTTTATTTATTATTGAACAGTTCAAAATGAATCGAGTCTTTTTTGAATCTTTCTTTTTCAATGCTAATTATCTCTATCAAAAAAAAGTCAACGTACTGATGCATATTATAGGTATTTAGTATTGCGCGACTCGTAGTACAACATGTTTGTTTATTTCTACTTTATCGAAAAAGTAAGGTGAAGTTAAATAAGAGAAAGTAAAGCATCTAGCTGTTAATTATTCGTTCATTAGTTTGATCTTAGTAGTACCAAGCCTTGTTATCACTTTACTAGTAGAATATAGTTCTGAAAAGTGATTATTTTATTTTTGCATCAATGTTTTAGCCTAAATGTGCTACTTTTATATTCGATTTGAGAACGATATTATTAAAATGATGATCTTTTTTTATTTGGAACAATTAACCCTTTCGGGGCGATGGAATCCAACGGTGGGATCTGCTATAGCGTGGTGTAAAAGCTCGTTTACCGTGCAAAAATTGAATATCTGTGCCATCCTTTGACCAAAGGAGCGAATACTTTTATTGTTGATAGATGAGGGCTCATAGCTTATAATGATAAGACAAACGTCGATAAAAGTTGTATTGAAGTACTATTTGTACTACGAATAAAGAAATATAACCTTTCACGAATTATGAGAAAACAATATTCATATCACCGCGAATGGGTTAATACAAAAAATACGTTTTACAGAATGTTCATTACAAACAAATTCTGAACATTTATAACATTTATTTGAATATTTTCTATCTCTAGAAAATGGCGAATCGAACATCGTTTGAGTTTGGGTTAAATAAAATTTTCATTTGCTTGTTGTGCTTGTTCCTCTATCACAGGATAGCCAACCACAGCTGAGGCATTTTGAACATCTTTATGTAGATTTGTCAAAATACTTAAGCGAAAACCCAAAAGAGATGAGAGTAAACTTATTCCTAATTCTTCAAGGATATATATATGTTTCACAGTGACTCTGACATAGAATCAAGAAAAGAAAGAAAAGAAATAACAAAACATTTCCACTGTATTTTCAAATATTTAAGTATGGGTCAAAAATGACCCACTTGGTACTACTAGGGTTAAATCATGCAGTAAAACACGCGAGAGTCATTAAATTTAGAAATGAAAAAATTTTTACATCTGATCACAACATGAATTTATTCCATCGCAAAAATTTTATATTAGGTGTCTAATATGATCAATAAAAGTAGTCGGTTTTCTGAAAGAGTTTTAAGAGATATGTCGTATCGATACAATAATTTTCCACTTTTTAGAGGAAAATGAACGTTTTCGAAAACCAAATTGGATGTCTATAATTTAGTAAATCAAGCATTTTGTTTTACATATTTTAAAGTCGGAGAATGAATAATGAAAGTTTGAAAATGCTATAGCTCCTTTAAAATCAATTTTCTAGAACATAGAATTTAAAATAGTTCATAGTGCATGAACATAAAAAACAAACTTTTTGAATCATCACATATTTTTTTTTTCTTTTTTCATTTCTTAACTCACAAGGTATTACCATGGTGCTTTTGATTAATACATTTCGTATTTTTCTTGACAGTTCAAATGATTATTTATCTGATTATCTATACCCATTGTAAACTGTAATCAACAGAAAAAGAAATACCTTGCGCTACAAGGACAAACTAGCTATCGATAAGAAAAAACGACACTTATTTAACATAAAAAATTGTTATGTGAAGGCCTACTACGATGTATTTTTTTTTTGAATTCATTGCATTTTCTTCAATGTCATATGCTCTAAAATATATTATTTTCCTATTTGAATTAATTGGAAGAATCAGGTCTTTAATGTATGAAAATGTCCACTACTTCTCAACTGCTGTTTTTTTTTAAATATTAGTAGTGAAACATGAACTGAGGATGTAATTCGTCTTCTGACCTTCATCCATCTCTAAGTTCTTCACTAAAAAAGTTATATGATTGTTTCAGTAGTAACAAAGCTACGGCAAAAGAATTACTGTTGGGATATTTTCTGTTTGCTACAAATGAAAAATAAAATGAAAATGAATCCATTATAATAAAGTGAAATAAGGTTTCAGCAATGCATAATTAAAGCAGAGTCTTTTTTGTTTTGTTTAATATTTAGATAGAACATGACGAATTGATGAAGAATATTGGTGTTTCCTTTTTTTTTGGAATGACTTTTTAAGAGGAAAATTTCAGATTTTTTAGGATTATCTACTTGTTATGAAAGATAGGTCAATTTTGAATATAGACGAATCCTATTTTCTACATTAAATCAAATGATGTTTCTTGTTTTTTTTTTGAAGTTGGTGTCAAGAACAAAGCACAGATCTTCCCCGATACGAAATTTGATACAGATACTTGAAATTCACAATAATAATTAACTGAAGCAACAATATCAGAAATATCAATTTGTACTGATTGTATTCTATCATGTTTAACAATTATTAATATTGAACAAGGTAATTTAGGAATTCATTATGTCAATGTAACATTACTTGCTTTTTCATTTGAATATCGAAGAATTAAGCTTTATTGTATGAAGGATATTATTATCTATTTAAAAAAAAAAGAAAACATCAAATAATTAATGTTGGTATTTATTGAGTAATATTTGATCGTCAACAATTTATGCCTCATCGAAATAATAAAAGATATAAAAGAATTCATACTCGAATACTATCTAACAATAAGATGTTTCAAGATTTTATACATTTCATTTTTTTGTTTTATTTATTTAATTATTGTAAATATTCAATTTGTTAGTAGTTTTTTTTCAATGATGTATTTGTAATTTAATATTGTATCCTCAATGTACGCATGTCAGATGACTGAAGTCGTGTTTGTCCATGTGTTTGTTTTTTTTTTTTTTTTTGAAAAAAAAAATTCAACAGATTTACGACGAGACATAACAATAAAAGTTGAAATAAATTAAAGAAAGCAAATAGAATAATTGACAATTTACGATTTGTAAAACATCGTGAACGTGTATCAAACACGGTGAGATAATTGTTCTTTTTTGTTTGAAAAATACTTCTGTATCTGCAATTAAACCATCCATTGATTAATCATCATATTCGTACGATTAATATGACGTTTCAGAATAATTCTCGAGATTAATTTACGAAATTCATTAACAAGAAATACAGATGATGTTAAACATGTTAGATAGAATAAATCTAAATAGAATAAATAATTATAGAATTTATAATAAAATCTTTAATTTAATCAAGAATAATCTTATGAATCACCT